CGACGGCTCTGCAACGCCCTTCTCGAAGCGGCGGGATATCTCAAATGCGATAAGTCTATCCAGACGACGCTCATATAGCACAGCCCCCGTCGATACCACACAACCTGTCATCCACGATGTATTTGAGTCAAGGACAGGAACCTGGCAGTACATCGTTGCAGACCCAGCGACAAAAGCGGCTGTCATTATTGATCCGGTCTTGGATTATGACCGCACCACTCAACTTATCACTACGTCTTCAGCTGACGAATTACTTCGGCTGGTCAAAGAAAAGGGCTACCGAGTTTTGCGGGTTCTAGAAACTCATGCACATGCAGATCACCTCACTGCAGCCTCGTACCTACAGAAGCGCATCGCAGAGGAGCATGGTAACAAGCCACAGATTGGCATTGGACGGCGCATCGGACAGGTACAAGATCTATTCGGTCAACGATACGACGTGCCAAGTCAAGAGCGTCATGGTGTTTTCGACAAACTCTTTGACGACGATGAAACTTTTAGTATTGGTAACCTGAGCGCGACTGCCATCCATCTGCCCGGGCACACGCCCGACCATCTGGGTTATAAGATCGGAGGTTAGGCCCCAGGGACGCCCCGTTATCGTATTTACTTTTGCTGATGTTCTTGACAAGACAACGTGTTCTGCGGTGACTCCCTTTTCCACGTGGACATTGGGACTGCCCGGTGTGACTTCCCGGGGGGAAGCGCCAGCAATCTTTATCACTCGGGCCGCAGGCTTCTTAGTCTTCCAGACCATGTCAAAGTCTGGACAGGCCATGACTACCCCCCAGACGATCGAGAAGGCCCGGTGCCATGGATGACGGTCAGCGACCACAGAAAGCTAAACAAACACTTGCGGGACGGTATCACCGAGAAGGAGTTCGTTGCACAACGCAAGGAGCGCGATGCTAAGCTCGGTGAGCCAAAGCTGCTTCACCAGTCTCTGCAGACAAACATCCGAGCTGGTAAGCTGCCACAACCAACGGCTTCTGGTCACCGCATGCTTCGTGTGCCTATGAAACTTGGAGATCTGCAGTGGTGATCAACAAAATGCCGCTGGCGGCGGTCGGGAACGCGAGTACTGTCTCAGTTATCTACGACGGTCTTGAGTGTGCTGGGGATACGAAAGTTGGTGGCTTTTATTGAGAGCGTCATTTCCGGCTACATGTAATGGAGATTGGGTTGTTGATGACCCACTGTGACATCGCCTTGGAAACTACTGTACCTAGAGGGAAAGGCCGTGTCCGGGGTGCGCACAACGTACCTTAATGAGCGGGCTTTTCAGAAAGCCCAATAAACAAGGGAGGGAACGGCTATTTGATTCCACTCGCCTAACTTCTTATTCCATCGTCAATGTAACAAAAGCCGATAGATTCAATTATTCTTGGTATTCTGTTGTTCGCACAGAGGCAACAGCGAGAGTGAGACCAAATGCTACGACAGGGTTTGACACGCGCTTGATACACCTATTGTGTAAGGCACGTGGGCCGCTGTCAGTGTAACAACACAACGCAGGCCTGCAAGTGGGGAGGCACAGCAGCTAAACTCGCTGAGCTTCCATGTTCTGAGACCATTCCGGTGAAAGCGACTCTTGGCCGAGTCGGCTCCCTGCTGGGCCTTTGCTAGGCATTATATGTTTCTGGGAAGGAGTTGCTTTTTGTTCACGGGCAAACAGACGCTCTGTGCGAGGCTCCAAGCAAGCCTAGCGCGAAGGAATTCCATGTCTTCCAGTGTTTTGAAACCCGTCGAACTGACCCCTGTTAACGGGATCGAAGAAACCCTCGCAACCATTGAATCAAAATAAGGGCAAAAGGCGCCCAGTGTTGGGTACTTCGGGTTCGTCTCACCGACGGTCCTACCAAGGCGACCGGCTTGTATGAGAAAATTAAAGGAGACGAAAAGACGTACTTGATCAAATCATTCGTTGCAGCGTTCGATCCGGCTACCCGAAACGTTCTGAAGTCTATGCGCAGCCCATTTGCTGGACGTCAGTTTGGGCCATTTCGGCCATCGCATTGTTTCACATGCCGGTGTGGACATCAGATGAGAACCGATCACACACAAAGAGACTCAGTCGGCATCCATGCGTCGGCTAGATTGCCGGGGGATGGAACCTCAGCAACTTCGGATTATGTTATTGATCTCGAGTCTGAACGAGGCGACACGTCATGTTCACTCCAGAAACTCAGACGAATCAAGGCTAATATGTGTAACATGTGCAAACAAAACCCCTCTCGTCCGCTCTCCAGCTGCACTCCAAGCCACACTCACGGAGAATTATCACGTTTTTTTTTTTTTTTTAACAAGGTTCCAATGTCACCTTTGGGGTTCAGGCAACACTGCCTTGCGTGATCGCGCTCCCCGACGCTGCTGAGTCAAAGTCGATCGTCAGCGGCAGCCGATCAATCCGAATCTTCTCACTACAAATACGGGGCGACTTTTAACAGCACCTTTGCATCGTGTGGATGGAATCGAGTACTAATGAGTCAACACTATGAGGACGCGACGACTTCAGTGCCGCCGCTTGCATTGCCACCAAAAACAACCCCTCAGAAAGCTAATCGATTATATCCCGTTCTTTCGCTTCTCTCGATAATACTGTTATTCATTTCGGCGGCGGCAGGTATAGCTTTATCGGCCGTGGTCTTGTTCCAGAACCTCGAATCAACAGAGGTCCTCGATCCTCTCAGCCGAGCTGTTTTCTTCGTCGGTTCATGCATGAGTCTCGTCTACGTCTTCACACACCTAGTCGGTGGACGAACAGCGTATATCAAGAACTATGGATCTCCAACTATATACGGCAAATATGTTGCCGGTTTTGCCTTTTTGCTGGCTCGGTTAGGTCTTCCCGTTTGGGTGGCAGCAATCACTTTGTCGATATTTGTGGCTGTAAACATCGGACTGGATCTTTCCAAAGGAGTTCAAGAGAACCTCCCATGGCTGAATGTCATAATCAGCATATCTTCCTTGTGAGTCCATGGAGTCAAAACGGCCGAGTACTCAGCGCTCATATCTTCACAAGGTTCTCTCTCGCAGCAGTACTTGCAGTTATTGAGATGGCAGATCGTCCGTTCGCGACTTTGGGCATTTCTCAGGCTTGGTTCATTCGAGGCGAGGATCCACTAGCCTGTCCTGATGACGATGACCTTGAGACTGGAGTTGTCTGTATGACGCCGAGCCTCCAAGAGAAAAAAGAGAAGCGCACCGAAAAGCCCCATGTGCCGGGCAAGCCCGAGAAGCGGAAGCGCAAGACTCTAACGAAAAAGAATCCTCACGAGCCTCAGCGTAGAGCTTTGTGAGTAACCTTGTTTCTGTTTCCAATACAACTAAAGACTAATGTAATGTCCAGACGCCACGCTAGGAGTATGTCCATGCCAACACCCTTGAATGCTGTGTTCGGGGACCGCCCTGGCGCCTTGATGCCCGACTCTCCAGCGTTTTCCAGTGCATTTGCATGGAAACCACCGACGAGAGATGGCGCGACACCAAAAGCAACCGGGGGAGTGACACTCAATGATTGGGTCACATGGCGTGAACATGCCAGTATGCGACAAGGAGGTTCTGATATATCCACCAATGCCTCAGCACGTCCAGGCGAAGTAATCTTGCCATCAATGCCTCGGCATGCTGAGTACTCTCCGCGTAGTCAGGCTCTACTTGAAGAACAAGGGAGATATGATTCAAGGAGATGGACTGCCATCGGCATGCAGTCCCCTCCTATCAACGGTCAATTTATAGATATTCCATTCAGGAGGCCATTAACTCCATTAATGACCATGGAGGAAGAAAGCAGACTTATGGGGCGCAGGCCTTCAACCCGGGATGGGGATTGGGAGGCAAACTATCATCTACAGATGAGACAAGCTAGCCGGCCGGCAAGTTCACGCACCACAACGACATTCAGATCGTCTCGCTATGGTCTCGAGGTCATTTCAGACCATCCTCCTACACTCCCACACATTGCAAGCCTTGTAACCAGAGCGGATGGCATTACCAATAGCATTAGACCCGACAGCAATGTATTGCCAAACGAAGGGCGACGGAGGCGTAGGATATCAAGTGTCAGCTCCCATGAGGGGCGACGTCTTACGTACAGGACGGAGAGTCGAGTCATATCTCAACACAGCTCAAGACGAAGCACGCGTCCGCCTAGCCAACATCCGTCCGTGGCGACCATAGTTACACGACCTGCGAGCCCGACATTGACAGTCCGGTCCGTGAGATCCGATGTGCACAACTTTTCCAGGCCTCGAACCTCGGCAGCTGCTAGGATGCAGTCGAAAGTTGCTAGGCGTCTCCGTGCACTCAAGCAGCAGGAGACCGAAAATGCCGAGCAGCCTGAGGTGGAGGAGCCAATGCCGGCGTCTCCGAGCACCCCGGTGTCTCCCGCCACACCGAGAACAGTCAGAGCCGCAGCGGTGAAGACTCTTCAAGACAGGCTCGGTAAGAGGAATCTTAAGAAGCAAGCGGAGGAAAGCCCCCGACCCGCAACTCCAGAGACACCCCGAACAGCCAGGGCCACTGCCGTCAGAAATCTACAAGAGCGGCTGGGGAAACGAATGATGCGGCGAAATGAAGAAGAACATACTCAAGCGGTACAGTAGTTCAATGGTTTTCGCGAAGCGTGTGGGATTTGACGACATTAACGTAATGCAAGGTGACGTTAGACGTGTATGAGTGGCCTCAAAGTAGTTAATAGCTAAACCAATTACTCTATGGAGACTTGGAATCTTTTCAGATTTCATGGAAACAAAATTAGAAGAAATCTAATCATCATTTTTTTACTCTGCTTTCTGTTGTAAGCATTCAAGGTGCCACCAGGGCTCCTTATTGTTTTTCCTAAAGGTCAAAGTTCCCAAGCATGCAATCCATAGTCTCGTCAATGAAAATAAAAGAACCAGAAAGATATGACACGGCCACTGAAAATGAGCACTGGTACAAGGCTCGCTTCTCCTTGTGAGTCCGAGTATCAACTTACACACCTGACTCCAGGCTCATCACTATGGAGACCCTTCCCGGGGGCTGTAGTATGCTCTTCCCTGGAGTCCTGACTTCTCGTCCCTATCTGCAAAATCTCTATCCCATAAAGCCGCCTCTATGGTCTCGTATGCAACGTCGACGTGCTCTGGAGTTGAGTCGTCGACCTCGCGGTCTTGAACGATTTTCCAGCCAGCGCGAGAGAATCTGCGGCGGGCTTTGCTGTTCATTCCTACCAGCCTGAGTGACATCTGTTTTCCTACATGTTGTTTCGTTTCCTCCTTCAGCTCAGAAAGCGTCTGTACTCCGGTCACGTCGATAAAGGGCACATGTGTCAGGTCCCAGACCATGACAGCCATCTGCTTGCTCGAGGGCATGACGTTGTCTCGCTTCCGCAACATTTCGATGCGCTTAGACGATGCGACACTCCAAGATCTGTCGACTGACTTGCTCTGTGACTGATCACCAACCTCTTGTCGTTCGAACTGTACTTTGACGGATTCAAGCACTGACTTCTTGATGCGGCCGGCGTTGGGGAAGAAGATTGAGTCTGTGAAACTGACCAACATGGCGTCTTCGGGAACGAATGTATCTTCCGCAACAGAAGGTACAGCTGCCTGCTCTCGCTGGATCGTGCGGTTCTGGCCACTTGTTGCTGAGAAAGTCTTGACCTTCGGGAATGCGGATCGGACCAGGGTGTATCCTATGCTGAACAATACCGCAAAAGCAATGCCCATCTCTGTAGACACAAAAAGCGTGACCCAGAAGGAGAGCATCGAAGCTACAAAGTCCATGAACGAGATACGCCAGTAACGGTAGAATACGGAAACAGGGCCAATGATGTGTATGACGGCCATGATCTAGTGAAAGTCTGTTAGCTTGGTCCGATGTCACAAGGCAGGAGGAAGTCGAACGTACGATAATTGCGGAAAGAGTGGCTTTAGGAATCCAAAATAGAGCTCCTGAAAGCTTGTACAGCGTAAGAAGAATAAATCCAGCGGTAAAGGCGCCGCTGAGCGGGCTCTTAACACCGCACTCTGAGTTCACAGCTGTCCTTGACATGGCACCGCCCACGCTCATTGCTCCGAAAAGGCTATTGATGGTGTTTGTGATACCAAGATAACAGAGCTCTTGGCTTTCGTCGATTGCGTAATTGTTCTTCCGGCCGAAAGCCTTTCCAATGGCCAGATGCTCCAGGGCCGAAGCTACCAGAGGGGCGATTGCTCTGGTGGTAACCTTGGAGACGAGGTCTCCGGCAGGAATTTTTGGCGCTTGAAGGCCGTTGGCCTTGACCTTACTGATGGCCCACAAGGGGTCTGCTCTATCCTTGTTGACCAAGAAACTGATTGTGGTGTAGATGAGCAATAGGATGACTGCTCGGCTACTGCAGGCGAATTTGACTGCTGCGTTCTTCTTCCCCCACTTCTTTCCGATGAACTCGAGGATGTACAGCATCAAAATACCACTGAACCCAATAGCGATAGTGAGAGGCTCCATCTCTGGGATACGTGATAGAACGTTACTGATGATAGCTGAGGTGCCCGAGGGAACATCGCTCAGGCCAACAAGCGAGCCAACCTGGCCCAAAAGAATCGTGATGGCAGCTGCAGACAGAAATCCGGATAGGACTGGGACTGAAATGTATTCCAGAATGAACCCGAGTTTGAGCAGTCCAACGATGAGCGAGTATATGCCGACCATCAACGCGACAGCCGATGAGATATCTTGTGCAGCAAAGCCTTCTGTCTTGAGGTCCGTGATAATCTCGGCGGTAAGAAGGCCCATGATGGAAGTTGGCCCGGTGGAGAGATCTGGGTCAAGGTTAGACAATGACTGCTTCTGACACATGAACCGCACGCACCTTTCGAAGTTCCCATGAAGACATAAATGGCAGCTGGTAGCCAGCTAGAATAAAGACCAAACTCTCCGGGGATTGTTGCTATCTTCGCATAGGCCAATGCCTGAGGAATCATCATGACACCAATCGTCATTCCTGCAATGAAATCGGATAGGAGCCATTTTGGGTGATACTGCGGAAGCCACTGAACAATCGGGACTTTTTGGATGAGATATTGTCCAGTTGCTTGGGGCAATCTTGGCAGTCCTGAGGCCACCTTTCTCCGAATTGTATTGATAGTGCTGTCTGTCTGAAAATCAGACTTGGCGTTTTCGAAGAACTTCATGGTTATTGCCGTCAGTGGGAGTCTCCTTACACGATCAAAGTCTGGCAAGTGATCGAAACAAAGAGGAAGAATGCGTCTGTCATGTAATCATAAAGGTCGAGACAACACACCTGATCAAATGAACCATGGCCTTCGACGGTGAGATCAATGCCTTTTATCTGATGTCTCTACGTGAACGGGTTTCTTGCCGTGCGGTCAGACTTCATACCTTGCAATGGTAGAATCCGAAATCTACTACCTAGAAGGGGCGAAGTATTGGGATGACTGATTTCATGCATTAAACTTTGAGTGGCATTCCGATGCCAGCTGCGGCGAGCTAGCTGCCAGGACATTCCTTTCTCGTCTAAGTGTTCCAAAGTATTCAGATGCCAAATTAAGAACTGTGCGTCTTTCTGGTGTGTAGTCCAATTCGATGATTGGCCTTGGCCTGTTTGTCTCCTTATTTAGCCACGGCAAAAGCTTGACCATCCGCGGACAATAGAGAGGATCCTGAACTGTTTGGGTCTGTGGTAGTCTCCCTGTCAAGTCAAAGGTCTTTCGGCATTTAGTGTCGTGCTGGATAATATGCGTGAAATGGCTCTTGAGATTTCAATATTGTTCGCGCAAAGATATCTGCTCCACATCGGCACTTGAGATCTCCATCATTCGTGCCAAGGATAAAACGCAAAGTGGGTTTGGGTACCCCGGGACGGGGGTAGCCGACGGGTATATGCAGCGGTGCTATCAGATGTGGCTTGGACTTGGATCAAAGAGCTTGACTGGTTCAAGCTTCAGATGAAACAGGGAGTCCCCGCCTCGGTGCGGGACAAACGCAAGTCAGTTGTATGGCTATGAGCCACGCTGAGGAAACATGTACGTGTGTGATGGTTCCCGGTATTCGAGATCGTGGTGTGATAACTGGACGGGGTCACCTCCTTACCCGGTTCACCGTCTGATGATGTCAGTCATGATCACTTGCCGCCTCTCCAGGGCGCATTGGGAATGGACATTCTAACACCCGACGCCAGGTTGCTTCACAATTTGAGACAGATCATGATCTGCGGTTTATTTTAGAAGAACGTTTTTCAGGGTTCCTTTGAATAGGGCCGAACTCCCATGCTCAAGCGTGAATACAGTCAACCGACTGGCTTCATCGCTCCAGCCAGCAGTAGCGGTATGCCTTGCGTCTGGTTGGCATCGGAGCTAGAAATCGGGTGGATTAGTGATGAATTGGGAAGAACACTATTACTCATCTAGCCCCAGCTGGTGCTCTTCAATTCATCTGGGACAGTCTGGAGGGGCCTCCTTCGTTGCAATTGCGTGTGAAGCCCTTCCAATCGCTGAGTTGGCGCATATAGGGACGTACTATTTACACCTAGCCACCCCGTATCAAATTTAGGCCTCGTTGAAGCTAATGATAACAATCGTACACAAAGGACGGCCTTTGATCACAGTTTTTGACTGTCCAGTGACCCCATACATCCAAACTCCTCCAAACTCTGCTGAAGGAAGAAGGTCTGGCGGACGATTAAACTGACGTGGGCACGTATAACCTTACGGTTGGCTGACATGAGCCAGGGACAGACCCCGAGTCAATTCCAAGGATGCCGAGAACGGCCGGTTGGCTGAGTTTATCGTTCCAGAGATATGATTAGATGAGCGAATGAGGATAAGTCGCTGGGATCTCGACAGATGATTCCAAAACCCTGATGCCGGTGACAGGTCTTCAGCAGTTACACCACCAAGTGAAGTTACATCTTCCGAAAAGCGAGCATAGCATGTTATATTAGGCCAGGATTAGAGTCGTACCCTCTTGCGCCTTGCATTCAACTGCTCGAGGAGAAGTTCCAGGTAGGTCACATTGAAGGTAGACAGCAGACGGCACCGGCTGTTGCGATGAAAAGGGGGGTACAGCAGCTCGGGATCCGAGCGCAGCGGTGGCGCGCCGGCAGTCTCTTTCTACCGCAACGATGCAAACGGCTCTCCAAGATAAGTTGAATATTAAGATGTTCGGCATAATCAACGTTGTTCTCATGTCTAACACCGTTTTGACCTGGCAGTCATACTCGGCTGTGGGGGTGGATCTTCAGCCATCATTTGATTGACAGGGAATTCGCCCTCAATGTTACTTTTGTCTTTGCTAATAGGGAGTTGACAATCTTTCTACTTCGTCGTGATTAGTGGCTATTATGGCGCTCTCTTTGAAACATGCACACGGTGTTGAAGCCGCTAGTGCAGTTGCTTCGTCAATGATAGGTTAGTACGCGATTAACTTGGCGGCCCCATGGGGGGAGGACCGATATTACCCTTGATTCACAGAATAGGGTGCTTCTCCGTATGGGTCAGATCCGGCCAGTATGGAAGGGTGGCACTGACAGAAGGCTGCATTGATGCGCCTCAGGGGCGGCTTCAGCTGATATGATGGGCTCTTATTGCTCCACTAACCGGTGGGCTCAGGTACTTAGCGGCGTAAATCATGGAGTGCGGAGCAGCGGGACAAAAGCTTAGCTCTTGCGGGGGTTCCTGTAACAGACCCGAGCAGTTACTTCTCACACTTGAGTGGAGGAAGCCGGGGAGATCACCGGCCGTCCAAAAGCAACTCTCCCGGAAATGATCGATTGCGTACAGACCTAGGCTTCTCTTACAATCAATTTGTACATAGAAACCCTTGAGGCTATCTTTGTCATTTCAACGATTTGATACTCCCGGACAGTCTGGCCGCGTTCGAGGCGCTGCTCAACGACGACTGGACTCTTGATTCTCAGGCTACTTACGTAGTTCCCGTTATCGGCGACAGTACTCAAATCATCAAAAGAGTTGTGCTGGTTGTGCGTTACTGATCTGAGCTTCTCTTTCATATCTGTCTTGTGGGTGCCCCCTTGAGTTATTTTTGTGCCTGCATGGCAAGGGGTCAGACTATATCTGTTGTTTGATCTATACCTTAGGTAGTTACAGAAGATGGAAGATGATCAAAATAAGGCGTGAAGAAAGCTGGACAGATGAATGTTGATAAAAATTTGTTGTCAATGTTTGTTTGTGTACTTAAACAATGAATAATGGACCCCCTCGTTGATGCCGTATGCTCAAGTGATGCACTGCTGTGCTCTCAAACCTCTCCTGCCAATGTAGGGCTCCATATTCAAAGTAGTACCGGTGTAATTGCTGCACTCGTCTACGTGATGAAACGTCCTGATAGCATCCCTGAACATCGGCCTCGGAAGACCACGGTTCAATCTACTTCTTGCAAGGTAACCACTTAATGTTGATCTGTTGGGTAAACGCTACTGTGGCATCATCATCGGTGATCGAGCCGTAGGCCTGAGAGTTCTTGGACGTAAGGGCAATTCGATTGTTAACGTTTAGAATGCCCGTTGCACCGCAGGGCGAATAAATGAGAGCCGCAGTCGGGATGGTATCCTGCTTGGTATATACCTGACCATCCAGCCAAATGCCACCTCCGGTGATGGAAGTCTGCGTTGTCGTAGTGGCTGCAGCGTCTTGGGAAAAGAAGTATGTCGAGTAGAATGTCCCAGTGACCCCTTCCTCAAGTTGAGCATATCCATGGTATGTGCTATCCACAAGAGCGAACTGGAAACCACCTGGATACTTGAGGCTAAGGTGAAGAGCACAGTTCTTAGAGCGTTCGGCAACCGAGAGCCCCGGTCCAATGTAGGTTTGAAACTTGTCGAAGCCAAAGGTGATGACCGTACGGTCTGGAGAGATCGTGGTTGAAACGGAGCCTTGGGGGCACCCACTTCCCGAGAAACTTGCGCTGACGATCTGGATCTCCTTGGGATCAGGAGTATCCGAGGCTCCAGTCGGCCCAAGAGGTTTGGCTACGGCCTGCGCCGCTAAGAACAAAGCAAAAAGGCCCTTCATGTTGGGTTCTGTACAAGGTAAGGTAGTGAAGCGTATGGAGGAATGACGATGCAGTATCTGGTGATATTTATACTTTTATCCAAGTAATGTCGATGGAACAGTGATGAAGATCATAGTTCTCGGATTGGCATCGATCTCGTGTATTTATACCCATAACCACGAAGCACACATGATGACTGGTGAGCTAGAGGTCTTGAGCTGTGTTGACTCTTTCAGCTGATTCTTCTCTAGATCGAGGTCAACTGAGCCTGTCGAATACGAGACACAACCTCACAAGTGACTTTCTCATAGTGCCAACTTCGCTTAGCAATGAAGTCGTTCCTGAAGTTACTCAAGTACCAGAAGTTGACTATCCGATATCTCGCATAGATTTGGGTTGAACCGTATTAACAAGATGCGGGCGGACTCCAAACGAAGACCAAATGAAATTAAATTGGTCACGGAATTGTTCATCAGCTGACCGCTATGCTAGAACGCCACAAAATTCGGATTCGATGCTGCTGACCAGCCATACCAATGATATTGAAGCAGGCCATGGTCGGTCTAGACAACCTGAGATACGGCTAGGGATACAACCAGAGTTCCTTTGGAAAGTAAGCATGGTGAGTGTAATATCCAGCTGTTCGAGAAACATGTCTCTGCCACATGAGAAATCATAAACGTTAGCAGCCGCTTTCAACAATGTTACAAACGCTTCACTTTGTGTTTCGGCGCAACGATGGCCAGCCATCAGAACTTGGGAGTGAAGGGACCTGGAAGCTGACCACGCTTACGCATCCATAGTTTAAGATAGTCTTTAGAATTCTTAGCCTTGAAAAGCTGACCTTAGGTTAATGTGTGCCTTGTTCAAGGGACGCCGAGGCACTACTACGCGGAATGCCAGACCATCTTCTGAAAACAGCAGCGGAGGCGCCAGTGCTGTGCATTGTTAAACCTCGATACTACTTGGGCCAACCGAGGTGACATCGCTCAATGTAGTGAGCATATAACTTTTAGTGGCACTGGATGATATTTTGGCGACAAAAAGCCTCTTCTCGTTGACGGCGAATTTAGCCTAGAGTCCTCCTACTTTTGCCTCATTGTGTGCTCCTCATTGTCGCAGGCTAACGGAATGTAATTGGTCAGGGTGTACTGACTTGCAGCATGTGGCTTTTACTATTCATCCTGTAGCGAAATGTAAATCCCACGAAGTTTTTCATATTACAACGTGACATGATGGTACCGCTCAACAAAACCCCAAAAACCAATGCCTAGAATCAAAGCCCCCTAGCCTAAATGTATTACCCAGAGACAGACAACCAGGGCCGAGGTGTCAGTCTTCAAATATAATTCACTCTCTGCTACGGAATGTTGCTCAGTGTGGCATATCAGTCAGAAATGTCAAAGAGATTCAACAGATGTGTAATGTGATGTGTCATAGGATTTCTGGAGAAACTCCGGCTAGATCTAGATACAGGCAAAGCTATTTTAGTCAAATTCATCTAATTTCTCATTATATTGCCCACTATACTTTGGCTCACAAGCTCTCAGCTTGCTTCAGAAGGCCTTCCAGGTTGATGCTCTTGGGCCGCTCAATGGGCAATCCCAATGCTCGGTCCCAAATCAACTGAGCAAGAGGTCCCAAGCCACGGGAGACACCGAAGGTGGCGGTATAGTACAGAGTCTCGTGAAAGCCGTAGTGATGGAAGAGGACTCCAGAGCTTGAGTCGACGTTGGGGTAAGGATTCTTGGTCTTGCCGTGCTTCTTGAGCACTTCGGGGGCAATTCGACTATTCTTTTCCACCAGTTGGAAGACGGGGTCTTGTGCAATCTCAGGTCGAGCGGCGGCATAATCCATCAGGGCCTCGAAACGAGGGTCGGGTTTCCGCAGGACAGCGTGGCCGTAGCCAGGAACAACTCTGCCGGAGTTGAGGGTGGACCACAGATAATCTGTGACGTCCTTGTCAGAGTAAGACGAGGGAATGTTGTCCTTCATCTGTAGGATCCACCGAAGAACCTCTTGCGCGGCAAGTCTATGCGGAGGTCAGCATTGGCTCGTGAGAACAGCAGCAATCGATGGTGACAACATACCCATGAAGAGGACCCGCGAGACCTTGGAGACCAGCGCTGTAGCTAAGGAAGGGATCGCTAAGGGCGCTGCCAACCAGGTGAGTGGCATGTGCGGAAACGTTTCCGCCTTCGTGGTCTCCGTGGAGAGCGAGGTACAATCTGAGGAGATCTTGGAAGTTCTCGTTCGCCTTGCCACCCTTTCCAAGCATAGCAGCAAAGTTGTAAGACCAATCCTGTTCCAGGTCTACTTCTGCGGGCAGAGCGCCGCCGCCACGGTAGGAGTTCTGGTAGATCTTGGCAGCGATCGTGGGCAGCTTAGCCAGCAGCGAGATGGAGTCGTCGAAAGTAGGCTCCCAGTAGTCAGCCTTGTTGATACCCTGCTCGTAGGCCTTGGCAAACTTGGAGGTGTAGTTGAGAGCAGAGACGGCAATGGCGAATTGGGTCATTGGGTGCAGGTCTTTGGGGAAATCGTCGAGAAGCTTGTTGACAAAGGCGGGCAGCTGAGCTTGCTCGGCCAATTCACGGGAGAATTGGCGAACCTGGTTTGTGGACGGGACCTGACCTGTAAGAAGAAGCCAGAACATGGCCTCTGGCAACATTTCTGTTCCAGTCTTTCCCTTGGGGAGCTCTTTTTGACAATCCTTGATGGTCCTGCCGTGGAACCGAATGCCCTCATTCGCATCCAAGACGGAGCCCTCCCAAACCATGGCCTTGAGGCCTCGCATGCCACCAAGAGTGTTCTCGACCTTGACCTCCCCAATGGTCTTAGACGAGTGTGCCTTGACCTTCTTCAGAAGCTCCCGCTTGGCGGGAATGACGCTCTTTAGTGTGGTCTTGAGGTCCGGTTCGGAAGTTGAATACTGGCGCGCATTGAGGGCAGAGCGAGCTGCCAGGGGCTACAGATTGTCAGACCATAATCGTCTAGCGGTATGTTAATTGCTATGGCTTCGACTTACCCTTAAAGCTCCAAGAGCCCTGGTGCCTTTTGTGATATTCATAGCCATGGCTGCCGATTGAGGGAAGTTACAAGGGAGGATCAGCGACGGAGAAGTTATGAAGAGAGGGGTAGAGGACGGAGGAAGGCGACCAGAAAGAGCCAACAGTTGCTGAATGGCTATTCAATCAATCGGCTGGATCGGATCAAAATTGATCTTGGGAGCACTAGAGGTAGGTAGGTAGAGACAAGCAGCCGGTGATGAACCTACTGTAGGGGGAGAAACTTGAGGAAGAAAAGTCACGAGCAGATGGGCGAAGAAACTTCACATTGTGCCGACCTAGGTAGCTAGATAAGCAGGTACCGCAGCAGGCCGAGACAAACTGCTTGACCCGAGGTTGGGGAAGCCTGGATGAGCAGCACTGACCTACCCCCGCGGGAGAGGGGATGTGTAAGTCAGCGCGCTGCTGCACTCACCTCAGACCGCCGCCAGCCATGTACGGGTAAGGTAGTAGGTATACCGGTCCGGTGCCTTAACACTCATAAGTAGTGAACCCAACAACCCCATGTTAAGGGGGCTACCTTGGGTTGTCTGTCCGGTAGGTATTGTGGCTAGGTATGAAGACGCTGGCGGGGTTGGTCTTCAAGGTCTGTGGGGGGGAGTGCACTGGAACGACAGGGGACGGGACCCCAGCTTTTTGCCCACCTCCTCCACGTTTGGCACGGGCAGTACGGGTTCCAGCGGCCGGAGCGTCATTGCTCATGCTCCGTGCGCCATAAGTGGCCGGAGAAGTTCACGGACCCATATTTGCATTACCATAGCTGCTTCTACATCCGTATGAACACTCTTACCATCACTCCTTCCCCACGTCGCTGGTACTGTGAGTCTCTGGCCGATGAGGGGAAAAGAATGGGCCGAGGCAAGCCGACGCAACTGCGGATCTGCGGTCTTGTCCATTGGCCAATGAGAGCACCTCACAATGCCCCTGCAAATGGTGACCTTCGTCTTGCCGCTGCTTACCAAGGCTGTTAATTCGCTTTTGCCCGGCTAAGACTCGCCAGAGTTCAGCGCTCCCAGTTGCTACGTCCATTTCCCACGTTATTCCCATACAGCCTCTCTTATGTAACATCCTTTATCCCGAGTGCCGAGTCCTTGCCTCTCGGGTTTGCTTCTGTAGAAACCTGCCTCGCCGGCGATAGGACGCTAAACTCCTCGTAATAGACAGGCACCATCGCGCTGTAGACAATACCACGACCGGGGAGAGTCTTGTGCTTCTCCTACACATTTTGTAGCATCTCGGCACTTTTCCCTATCCACAAGAACAAGATACGACAATGATTCGACGAGCTGCTACGCGAGCAGTCACCCGGAGGGTTCCTCTCATCAGTCCGTCTTCAACACCTACTGTTGCTGTGCGCTGTATCTCAATGACAAGGAAAATGGCACAAGCACCCACGAACTCATTTTCTGCCTCCGCCCCTCCTAGCGATAACTTCCAACTTCTGGCCGAGTCTAAGAAGGCCGGTGCTGCTGAGGATGAACTCTACGAAGCGCAGATCAAAGAGGTCGAGGCATGGTGGCAGTCACCGAGATACGAAGGAATAAAGCGGCCGTACAGCCCAGCCGACGTGGTCTCCAAGCGCGGTTCGCAGCATCAGTCGTACCCGAGCTCCGTCATGGCGAGAAAGCTCTTCAACCTCGTCAAGGAGCGTGAAGCTGAGGGCAAGCCTATTCATACAAGTACGGACGCTCCTCTCCCCGCCTCTCCATAGATGGATAAATGCTAAACGCCGATATCTTGTAGTGGGCGCCATTGATCCTGTCCAAATGACCCAGCAGGCTCCTCACCAAGAAGTCCTGTATATCTCGGGCTGGGCCTGCTCCTCCCTCCTGACTTCTACGAACGAGGTTTCCCCCGACTTTGGCGACTACCCCTACAACACCGTTCCGAACCAGGTCCAGCGTCTCGCCAAGGCGCAGTCAATGCACGATCGGAAACAATGGGATTCTCGGCGGAAGCTCAAGGCCGAAGAACGCGCAAAGACCCCGTATGTCGACTACCTACGACCCATCATTGCCGACGGCGATACCGGACACGGCGGTCTCTCCGCCGTTCTGAAGCTCGCCAAACTTTTCGCAGAGAACGGCGCGGCGGCGGTGCACTTTGAGGATCAGCTCCACGGCGGCAAGAAGTGCGGCCACTTGGCTGGCAAGGTCCTGGTCCCAATCGGGGAGCACATCAACCGCCTCAACGCTGCTCGTTTCCAATGGGACGTCATGGGCTGCGAGAACCTCGTCATCGCCCGCACTGATTCGGAAAGCGGGAAGCTCATCAGCAGTGCCATTGACGTGCGCGATCACGAGTTCATCCTGGGCGTGGCGGATCCGAGCTTTGAGCCCCTCGCCGAGACTATCCAGGCCATGGAGGCCAAGGGCGCAGTCGGAGCCGAAATCGACGCTTTCGAGGCCAACTGGGTCAAGAGCACCAAGCTAGTGACCTTTGACGAGGCCGCCGTGGCGCATATGCAAAAGGAGGGTGTCTCCCAAGATAAGATTGACGCGTATCTCGGAGCGACACGCTCGAACCGCGACATGGGAATCTCCCAGCGCCGCAAGCTCGCCAACGAGCCTACCTCGACACCCGTCTACTTTTCCTGGGACGTGCCCCGCACGCGCGAAGGCTTCTACCACTACCGCGCCGGCATGGACGCCGCCAAGAAGCGCGCCATTGCCTTTGGCCCATATGCCGACCTCCTGTGGGTCGAGACTGGTGATCCCAACGTCAAGGTCGCCACAGACCTGGCCAGGGCCGTCCGCGCCGTTTATCCGGGCAAGGGACTTGTCTACAACCTCAGTCCTTCGTTCAACTGGATGGCACACGGGTTCACAGACGAGACGCTCAAGAGCTTCATCTGGGACATTGCCAAGGAAGGATTCGTGCTGCAGCTCATCTCGCTTGCTGGCCTGCACTCCAACGCCACCATCACGAACGAGCTTGCGAGGGATTTCAAAAAGGATGGCATGCTGGCGTATGTCAACATCGTGCAGAGGCGCGAGAAGGAGGGTGGCTGTGATGTTTTGACGCATCAAAAGTGGAGTGGCGCCAGCTACATTGACGGGATCCTCGGGGCTATCCAGAGTGGCAGCTCGAGCAGTAAGAGCATGGGCGAGGGCAACACCGAGAGCCAGTTCCATTAGAGAGCCATCTATAAAATGCATATATGGGCGGCGTTGCGGAATTTTCTAGCGCTTTCAAGATATATATCAATTTGTCTTTTCTTGATGTACACCTCTCGCCTGCCCACGCCGTAATTGCCTACCAATAGATTGGAGGTTATGTCAAAACACCAGGTCTAGCAGATAAAGTAGCATTAGCACTGATAGTGTGAGCTTCGGGAATAAATGCTTTAAATTGTCTATGCTAAGTTTCATCATCATGGCCTTTTGGCCGTGTATACCCCAGTCTCTTGCCCAGCGCCCTAAACTCCAACCCAATACGGTATCATATCGCGAAAATCGGATTCAAACAAGCAGCGCAACGCAACGCAACGCAACATTTACTCGAGGCTGGTGCGGCTGGCGTTGTTGATGGGGGCAGGCGCCGCGGGGCCCTCGGGGGTAACGTAGGCCTTGGTCATGCCGCCGTCGACGACCATGTCGTGGCCGTTGACGAAGCTGGACTCGTCGCTAGCGAGGAAGAGAACAGCCTGGGCCTGCTCAATGGCCTCGCCGAAGCGGCCAGTCGGGAAGTGAATCTCGCGGCGCATGCGCTTGGGCACGTCGTCGCCGAGCCAGTCCTGCAACAGAGGAGTGTTGAGAGGCGCCGGGCAGAGGGAGTTGAAGCGGTAACCCTCGCGGGCGTGGACCATGGCAAGCTCACGGGTAAGAGCGAGGACGGCACCCTTGGAGGCGGTGTAGGCAAGCTGAGGAGTAGCAGCGCCGACAAGAGCGACGACTGAGGCAGTGTTGATGATGGAGCCCTTTGTCTTTTTGTTGCGGCGGAGGGCGAGAACGGCGTGCTTGCTGCCGAACCAAACTCCCTTGACGTTGATGTTCTGAGTCAGATCCCAGATCTCCTCGGGGGTGTTCACGGCATCGTCGTCTTTGGCGTGCATAATTCCGGCATTGTTGAAAATAATGTCGAGTCCACCCCAGGCATCAACGGAATCGATGAGGGCCTTGACTTGGTCTTCTTTGGAAACATCGGTAACCTATCATGACGAAGAGAAATCGTTAGCAAATTGAACGGAACACTCTCAGGCGTTGGTCTCGCGTTGTGTCGTGTGACGAGACAAGAAACGAGACAAGATGAATGGCGGGGCATGGCGGGGTAAGGTAGTTCCTTTTTTTTTTGGGTTGTGCAATGTGCAGTTATGCTGCTGTTGTCACTGCGTCCAGCGTAGTGCAGTGCATTGCTGTCGGCGTTTGATTTGATGCACGCCGGAGCGGCGGGAATGGGATCTTCCAACACTTTTCATTCGCAGCTAGACTCAACGTACCTTGGTCTCAATTCTGGCTGACGGGAGCAGCGATAGAACCTTGGCCTTCGCCTTTTCGAGTGCCGGGGCAGAGATATCGGCCATGGCAACGCTGGCACCCTCCTTCGCAAAGAGAATGGTCGTCTCCAAGCCAATGCCACTGTCACAATTGCTTGTCAGCTTATCGGATCCTGTATGCCATGTGTATACGATGCGGTGAACGCCCAGCCACTGGGAACTCATCCCGATGCGCCGTGCTGATAAGGCGCCTCTGAGACCATGAGGGGTTGCGGCATTGCATTGGGTGACCTTACCCAGCAGCGCCAGTGACGACGGCGTTCTTGCCAGCCAGGCGACCTCCAATCTCAGCAGGAACGGAACCCATTTTCAACGGTGTTGATTTCTTTTGGAATGTGTCTTGTTGTTGTGGCTGTGATGTTGGATCGCAAATCACAAATGGTGAATTGAGAAGTGGCGGAAGAACGAGTTGGGGTTCGAAGGTTTTGGTGTGGTAGTCAAAGTGCCGTTGGTAGCTTGGAGCTCTAAGTTGGGAACAAAATGTGTTGATAAGAAGAGAGCAGAGTAGGATGG